GAGCAACTGAAGATCTGCTTTATCTCAATTGTGTAGGTCTTTGATTTATAGGTGCACCTACATTATTTGGAATTGTGTTAAATTTCTTTGCAGAAGTTAATTTGTTGGGGATTTGGGGTTTTTTTTTGTGTGGTGTTTTTTGCTTGGTGATTTTTTTGTGGGGGTGGTTATTTTTTTTTTTTCACAGTTACATGTCAGTACTGCGTATGCATAGTGTAGCCATAAAATGCAACTTTCCATTTTTTCCATGGTCTGTGTATAGTTGTGTAAGCAGTTGGGCAGACTAGCTCAGTCACAGATTTCAACAAAGTGTAGTTGGCAAAGGAAATTTTTTCTTTTTTTGGTCTCACAATGCTAATCTTCTTTGCATAAGTATAATATGGCTAACTAGTTACAATATATTACTGATTAAAGGGTATTTCAGCTTTATGTGAACAAAAAATTAACAAACTATCCTGCAAGAGCTTAAAGTGCTGTGAACAGTTTCATCTTCTTACTAACTGCTGATGTCAAACATATTTTCTTTCACATTTGTTTCTAGGTATGTCCTAGGTGGAGGTGCGTTATGCATGGAACTTCTAACTAAACAGGTGAACACAGTCTCTGTTATCTGGGTAATAATAAAGCATGCTTTAAAACAGTGAAAGTAGGTGTTTCCCCTGAGTTGAAAAATCCCTGTGTGGGGTAAATTACACACTGTAAAGGGAACATGGTGGAATAAACCTCAGTCCCACAAGATTTGCCTTGCTGATCTTGTGTGGGATCTTTTTTTCTTCCTTGGATGGCTTACAAGAGGTCTGAGGAAGAGGTAAGAAGAGCACATCAACTTTGAATTCTTAGCATTTCTGGGAGGAAGACACTGTAAAGAGTGAGTTCTGAGGAGCAAGACACATTGTTTCCTTTTCCAGAAGCCTCTGCTACTGCACAGAGTCAGCTCTGGAGAAGTGAGAAATGCAGAAGATTCTAGGCATAGATGACTTTTGTGTAGACAGACTGGTTGGTTTTCTCTTTAAGTAAATGAATGAAGTAATTATTTGCAGGCTCTTGCAGAAACTTCTGTGAACCCTGGGAGGAAAAGCAATGCCAGAGATAACCAGTAATTTTTGTGGGAACAAAAGTGTCAGAGCTCACTCAATGGCTTCATTAGATAGCGGTCTTTCCTGCTTTTTACAAGAAATTGTAATCTGTTGGGACGTTGCTGAAAATGTGCAAATGCTGTAATGACGGATCTCTTCTTGTTTCTGTCTTGCTGTATTTTGGAAATGTGTTATTCAGCCTTTTCATTTTTCCTGAAAGTTCTCAGTACTAATACTGTGTGTCGCTTTCCAGATTTTCTCTGGAAAAGAAAAGTTGTTAACTGGAAACAAGTAGTGAAAACTAAAACTGGAGTGCAGGGAAAAAAAAAATCCCAAAGCACACATTCCCAAATAGATTTGCAAGGTGAGCACAAGAAGGAAGTACATGTTACACAGAAATATTTCCTTCCTCCTCCAGGGCTGGAGCAGTGCCTATTCAATAGAATCAGTCATCATGCAGATCAATGCCACTTTAGTCAAAGGAAAAGCCAGAGTACAGTTTGGAGCCAATAAGGTAAATGCGCTGTGTATATCAATTACACAAATTACTGTTAGGCTTCCATTTCTTTGCTGACTTGCGTAGAAGATGCTTAATGACAGAATTGTCATTGCAAATATATTTGCATTTTGATTTATCTTGATGTCCGTGTATGAGTATTTTATTGGCAGTTACCTATGAGTTTGTTAAGAAATTATGAACATATGAGGAGGATAAAACCTTGAGATGGGCAGGGTGTGTAAGTAGTTAGTACTTGTACTATCCCTATATTGGCAACGGGGGAAGGTAAGGAGGATTCAGAACTGGGAATTGGGAGGATTTGGAAATTCTGGCTCTGAGAAGGGCTGTATATGACAGCCTGACTGCCAGGATTGCATACACTGATGTTAAGAAGTTCTCCTTTTGCTGGACTAAGCACCTGCAAAGTTTCAGGAGAGTGAAAAATAATACCATAGAAATACTTCCGAGCTAGCCATTCAGCATTAATTGAAATTGCAATTCAGTTCAAGTGTGCATGCTGGTAACAGACCATAACTTAAAAGACTTGGAAGTACTAAATGCTGTTTTCAAAGGATGTTTAAATATTTAAGTCAATTAAATTGTCACTTGGATGCCAGCTTTTAAGTACTGATTCAAGGACAGTGAACTAGGTAAGATGTAAAAGTTTATGATCACAATTCTGTCTGACCCAGTAACTGGTCAGCTGAGCAAGACAGAGTTACAGTGGGGATTGCCTGAAGCCCACCGTTGCAGTTGCACACACTCCTAACTTACCTTCTGATAGAGGGACCTTTCCAGCAGAAGGGGTATACATACTATTGCCATTATGACAGAGGAGAAATGAGAAAATAAGGCTATTTTTCTTGAAAATCTTGTAATTTAAAGCCAGGAATGTTGTAACATTGTGCATGGCTTTTATATGTAAGCCCACTGTAGGGTTTCTTTGTAAAACTGTTTAAGTCTCACGTGTCTAGATGCAGATGTTTTATGTTAGTTTTTTCTCCTTTCAGAATCAATATAATCTAGCAAGAGCACAGCAGTCCTATAAGTCACTAGTACAAATACATGAGAAAAATGGTATGTATATTCTTGCGACTTTGTCCTTGTCTGCACAGCAACCTGGGAATTGGTATTTGGCCCCAGTAGAAGTTGAAGTGCCAGTGTCTTATGTTGTCTTGGGAAGACCGTAAATGGTGTTTCCTTTTTCTCATCTTGCATTAGGATGACAATAGTGCTCAAAGTAACTTGACTGACAATCATTGCAACTTTTCCAGCTTACATGAATGTTCCATGTGTTCCTGCTGTCTTTTTTGAAAGGTAGTTCAATTTCATTTTCAGCTGGTTATTCTAGGAACTTTATTGTTACTGTAGCTTTTAAAGTGCCTTATTTGTTAGTGAAGTACCCGCTGGAAGTTTGTTTTTTTGAAAGGCTTTGTTTCGATGTGGTGAAACCTTAGTAGTAGTAATCATTAAGGAAGAGAAAAAGTGGAAAGAAAGACCAGAGACTGAAAAATACAAAAAGTCCAAGTGAAGCGTGCTGGTTGGACAACTCTGCAATAGAAATGGGGGACACATTTCTTTTTTTTTTTTTATCTTATTTAAAGTAGGTTAATGGTGTCTCAGCTGCATAAAACAAGTATTCAAGTGCTTCAGGTATTATTGAGTTCATTGTGCTAGGATGAGAAGACAACAATTGACCAGAGGCTTTAAAAGGTTTAAGTGGCTTACATATTATGTAAAAGTAGTCAGCAGAACTGGTACCCTGGTCTCATGACGAGGGAGTTAGTCCAGTTACCACTCTGTGATGTTCTTTGATCCAGCTTGGACGCAGTGTCCTCTGGGAATTCGTGTTGCTGTGAACATGAGAGCGTATTTCAGTGTGACTGTAGCAAGCACCTCAGTTTCCCTACCTCTAAAATCAAACATAATGCCTTCTCTACTATTGGGAGGAAGAGCAAAGAAAACAACTTTAAAATGCTTTCCAATTTTATGATATTTTGATCTTGCCATTTACTGAGTCTTTTGCTTTTTTTAGTTTGCTACAAAAGCCAGCATGGCTATTTACTTCTAGCTATGTGCTAGCCTTGACTACAGTGATTACTGCTGCGTCAGGAGCTGTACACAAAGCATTCACAGCATTTATTGCTGCTGCGAAAGGTGTCTTTAACTTATAGCCGCTACCCGTTCTCTGGGACAACATAAATAGGGCCTGTATTCACTGTACAAAAATTTAGAGGAATTTTTACAGTAGTGGCTGGGAGAATTAAGATTGGAGATCTGGAGGTGGCTAGGAAAAACTGTGCACACTTGATCAGGTATGATTCAACTGCTAAACATGCCAAATCCTATCAGGAGACAAGTTATTTAGCTGACATTTCTGAGCCTATTCCTACAGGAAGATTTGCAGATGTAGGATAAACCGTTCAAATGATTGTGCGAGCCTAACTTCAGTACGCAAGAGGGGATTTATATATAAGTATCCCAGTACAGTCATGTTTGTGTGTCTGTGCATTTACATGGCTTGAAAACTCAGGGGTTTCACCTCTATTTCATTTGGTTCTGTTACAGCAATGTTCCTCCATCAACAGCTTCCTCTGTTGATGTCCAGCTTGTCCAACTCAGGATAGCTGCTGCCACAAAAAAAAACAAACTTGGAAGTATTTCATTTTCACCCCAAATACTGGGTCTGATCCTGGAATGTGCCACATGCTTTATCTCCCGCTGCAGACCAGTAGCGTACAGGACACTGGGTCTCGCTGAACTGGCTACTTTAAGAGGGAAGGAAGGAGCCAGATTAGGCTTCCATGTCCCACAAATTAAGATGGTAAGATTGTCTTGATGCAGCAATGTCAGTACGTAACACGTTTCTCTGTTCTCCGTAGGCTGGTACACTCCTCCGAAAGAAGATGGCTAACACTGAGGACTGTTGTATACCTGGACCAATGTCAACAAAACAAGCTCTTTTTTATGTTTTCCAACATACAGACTCAAGCTATGAGTGCCCCTGTAACAGCTGTACTGAAGACTTTAGCTATTAGATAAGTTAGTGGATAATCTGTCAACTGACACGTAAAGTATAAGTTACAGCCTTACCATTCCGCTGTTCTTAGGTATCTGGACTGAGCAGTTTGGGCCTTTACCGTATTCGTTCTTATGGATTATGCATATTTGGGCCACGCCCTCCCTTCTCCCTTTTTTTTATTTGAAAGCATAAGCTCCCTACAGCAGGCTATCAAGTTACTAAAGATCATTCAATAGGAGTGAGTTGTTCACACACTTTTGTGTATATCTTTACCTTTTGCAAAATGCAGACTGCAGAGACTTGCGTTGTATCGTTTCATTTAAAGCCAAGAAGTTTAATACATTGTTTAATACTGTTTTAGGAAATGTCAGGTCTTGCAAATCACAGTAGTTTTTCTGGTCTAAAATGACAGCATTTGTAGTATTTCCAAATTAATGATATAGAAAAAACACATGTATGTTAAGTCATTAAACATTTTTCATGGCTGTATGAGAATATGAACTGTTTCTTGGAAAAGATGCTTTTTGTTTAGATTATGTTAATTTTTTATTTTGGTCTTTTTTTGTTTGTTTGTTTTAAGCAGAGCAAGGCTGTGCCAATAAAATCTTGTAACTAGTCACTTCCACTGGGGCATCAGAACTTGCTGGGCTGTTCCTGCTACTTGTTGGCTCGACCTCCTTAACAAGAAGAGCCACAGTATGAAGCTTGAAGTTATTTAAAATACTAAAAACCTTTTTAGGTGTTCCATTTTATTAACGGGTTGTTGCAATCATTTGTAAACTAATGAACTTATAAAGTGATTGGCACAAATCGAGATGAAAGTCCTTGAATGAAAAATTTTTATATAAAAGCTACAATAAAGTACAAAAACATGTCATCTGATTCAGAGGTTTAAGAAATGTTGCCATAGTCATGACAGTGCTTTTGTTATTGAAAGACTAAGGGGAACTGTTTGTTCTTTATTAGGAAATGAATCTGGGTCTGTGTAATTACGCTATATTTCATTGCCTTACCTAAATCGATTCTATTTTGGTTGTAGTACTAGTCGTTAGGCCTTTGCGCCCCTCTGGGGCTGAGCTTAAGGGTGTGGACTATGGATTAAGCACTTTTTAGAAGCGCAGAAGCATGTTTTTGTTATGTTTTTTTTAGTTGACTATCAAGTTTGTGCTCTTTTCTCTATCAGGCACCCGCGGGTCCTTGTGCATTTGCTTCTAGATCCAGTTTTTAGCTCGAAAGAGACGATTTGGAGAGGTTTGGCACTACTTCCAATACACGTATTGTTTCAAATGTACGGTGGGTGACTTCCCAGCCTTTCTGCTTGCGTGGTTGTACCAGTATTTGTATAAAGCCCGGTAGCCGAGCG